GCTTCGAGAGGGGGGGAGACCTTTCGAATAAAGGTTAGCGAGCGTATAGAATCCTTTAGTGCTCTTTGAACTGGGTGGTTCGCTTGCAGACGTTTCGTGACCCAACTAGGTACCATGATCAGTAGAAGGGAGTAGGGTTTGCGCTGTTTTATTTACCAGTGGCTTGCCCTGTCAGTGTGGGTGGGAGTGTTCTTGGTGGTTTCTTGATCCAGCTGTGGTTTACAGAGATGGATGGATGGGTGGATAGATGATAGATCGATACAGACAGAGAGACAGAGAGAAAGACACAGAGAAGACACAGAAAGACAGAGAGAAAGAGATACAGAAAGATAACAGATAATCAGAGTTGGAAGGGACCTTGTAGGTCATCTAGTCCAACCCCCTGCCCAAGCGGGAGACCCGACACCATTTCTGACAAATGGCAGTCCAGTCTCTTCTTGAAGGTCTCAAGTGATGAAGCTCCGACAACTTCCGAGGGCAACTTCTGTTCCATGGGTTGATTGTTCTCACTGTCAGAAAGTTTCTCCTTATTTCCAGATTAAATCTCTCCTTGTTCAGTTTCCATTCATTATTCCTCATCTGGTCTACAGGAGCTTTAGAAAATAGCTTGACCCCTTCCTCCTCTCTGGGGCAGCCCCTCAAATATTGGAAGACCGCTATCATGAGACACAGAGAGAGATAGAGACAGAGAGAAGAAGATAAAGACAAAGGCAGAGAGAAAGGCACAGACACAGAAGACAGAGAGAAACAGAAAGACACACACACACACACACAAACAGAGAGAGAGACATAGAAGACACAGAAAGACAGAGAGAAAGAATCACAGCGAGCGAGAGAGACACACAGAGAGAGAGATTGAGATTAGATAGATGGATGTCCTTGGTTGCTTTCTGGGAGATATTTATTCACCCAACTAGGCAACATCATCAGTGCTAGAAGAGAGTGAGGTTTACAAAGAGGATGGAGGGAGGAAAGGAAGGAAGGAGAGGAAGGAAGGACGGAAAGAAGGAAGGAAGGAAAGAAGGAAGGAAGGAAAGGAAGGAGGGACGGAAAGGAAGGACAGAAAGGAAGGAAGGAAGGAAGGGAAGGAAGGAAGGAAGGAAAGGAAGGGAAGGAAGGAAAGGAAGGGAAGGAAGGACGGAAAGGAAGGAAGGAAGGAAAGAAGGAAGGGAAGGAAGGAAGGAAAGAAGGAAGGAAAGGAAGGAAGGAAGGCAAGGACTGTGGGATCCTTGGTGCTCTCTGAGCTTGTTTTCTTGCAGACGTTTCATCACCCAACTAGGTAACATCATCAGTGGGGCATACTCTCAGTTCATATACAAATGGGCTTGCCCTTTCAGTATTACTGGGTGTATTCCTAGAATGCCGTTTGTTTGACATAGTTTACAGATTGTTTGCCTGAGCTGGTAGTGCCTGGATATTGCAGCGACATCCCTGCTATGATGAATCAGCACAGAGCTACCTCCACAGCAGTCCTCGACTTAACGACGATTCACTGAGCCCCAACCCTTCATAGTTAGAACAACACTGAAAAAAAGGGACCTGCGGCCAGTCCTCATGCTTACAACGGTTGCAGCATCCCCAGTCACAAGATCAGAATTTGGAGGCTTGGCAACTGGCATGTACTTATGACGGTTGCAGCGTGCCTGGGCCATGGGATCGCCACTCGTGACCCTCCCAGTTGGTTTTAGACAAGCAAAGGCAAGAGGGGGGGAGGGTTTCACTTAACAGCCACACGATTCGTTTAGCAGCTGCAGTTATTCCCTTAATGACCATTTCCCCCCAAAAAGTTGTAAAAACGAGGTGTAACTCACTCAACGACCGTCTCCCTTAACAATGGAAGTTTCAGGCTTCTGACAAGCAAGTTCAATTGGTACGGTGGGCGGGAAGATGGATTTTCTTAACCAGGGACCGCATGATTCATTGAACGGCGGCGATTTGCTTAACAAAAAGGTCGTAACTTTGGCCGTGACCCACTTAATGACCGTCTCGCTTAGCAACCAAACTCCTGATCTGGTTGTAAGTGTAGGACTGCCTTGCAGTCTCAAAGGAAAGGCGGAGTACTCACTAAACAGATATATGGGGCAAGTAACAAAAATAAATATTTTCCTGCTTGCTCTCATGTTCTTCATTAAAAAATACCGTTTTAATTTCCGTCTCTCTTGCAGGAGCCGCTGGAAGAGGTGATCCACTCGCCATCTTCGTCCCTTAACGTGTCGGAAGAGTTTTTAACTCCGGACCCCGACTATTTGAGCAGTTCTGCTCCTCACGAGCCTTCAGAATTGGAAGTAAGAGGAAAAGTTGAATAGAATAGGAATACAGCATAGAACAGAACAGAATAAATAATAGAATACAATAGAGAATAGAATAGAATAGACTAAAGAATAGAGTAGAATAGAGAATAGAATAGAATTGAATTGAATTCTTTATTGGCCAAGTGTGATTGGACACACAAGGAATTTGTCTCTGATGTATAAGCTCTCAGTATAAATAAAGAAAAAATAAAATACTTTCATAAAGAATCATAAGATGCAACACTTAGCGATAGTCATAGGTTACTAACAAGCAATCAAATCATACTAGGAAACAAATAAAACTATAAATTGTAAAGATACAAGCAACACAGTTATAGCCATAAGTGGGAGAGATAGGTACTAGGAAGGATGAGAAGAAGAATAGTAATAGTTATTAAGTAGTTGGACAGTTTTGAGGGAATTATTTGTTTAGCAGAGTGATGGCGTTGGGGGAAAAAACTCCTTGTGTCTAGTTCTGATATGCAAGGCTCTATAGCGTCGTTTTGAGGGTAGGAGTTGAAACAACAGAATAACAGAGTTGGAAGGGACCTTAGAGGTCTTCTAGTCCAACCCTCTGCTCAAGCAGAAGACCTATACCATTTCAGACAAGTGGCTGTCCAATCTCTTCTTGAAAACCTCCAGTTTATGTCTGGGATGTGAGTCTAGATATTTTCACAGCCCTCTTTTTGACTCATGCAGGATACAGGTCCTCCATGGAAGGCAGGTTGGTAACCATTGTTAAAAAGATTTTAAAAGTTAGCCAAGATGGCTTAAATTGTCTGCTTCGATTAAAGGAAAGAATGCTAACTAATCTTGTTCCTACTTGGAAACGGTTTCTGGACTTTGTGGGGGAAAAAAATGAAACTCTGGTTTGGGGTTTTGCCGATTGGTTAGTTTTGGTGGTCATAGAAATGGCTATTTATTATATATGAATACATAAAAGTAAAAAAATTGAGGTTTCAGGCTATGACCTGATTCCACAAGTAGTGCTCAACTTACGACCACAATTGAGCCCAACGTTTATGTCGCTAAGTGAGATTGTGAGTTTTGCCCCATTTTACGAGCATTCTTGCTGCTGCTGTTAAATGGATTGCTGCAGTGGCTCAGTTAGGAACGTGGTTGTGCTTTCCCCTTGACATTTGTTCGGTTGTTAAGTGGGTTTTGCCCCATTTTACAACCTTTCTTGCCACCATCGGTAAGTGAATCATTGCAGTTGTTGGTGAGTCACACGGTTGTTAAGTGAATCTGGCTTCCCCCATGGACCTAGCTTGTCAGAAGGTCGCAGAAGGGGATCACGGGACCCCTGGACACTGCGACCGTCGTAAATACAAGTCCGTTGTCAAGCATCCGAATATAAATCACATGGCCCTGGGGATGCTACAACGGTCGTAAGCATGGAGAATGGTCATAAGTCACTTTTTAAAGTGCCATTGTAACTTCAAACGGCCATTAAGCGGACTGTTGTAACTCGAGGGCTATCTGTATTTGTCAGCGAATTCTTTATTGGCCAAGTGTGATTGGACACACAAGGAATTTGTCTTGGTGCAAATAGAATAGAATAGAGTAGAATAGAGTTAGAATAGAATAGAGTTAGAATAGAATAGAATAGAATAGAATAGAATAGAGTTAGAATAGAGTTAGAATAGAATAGAGTTAGAATAGAATAGAATAGAATAGAATAGAATAGAATAGAATAGAATAGAGTTAGAATAGAATAGAATAGAATAGAATAATAGAATAGAATAGAATAGAATAGAGTTAGAATAGAGTTAGAATAGAGTTAGAATAGAGTTAGAATAGAATAGAATAGAATAGAATAGAATAGAATAGAATAGAATAGAGTTAGAATAGAGTTAGAATAGAGTTAGAATAGAGTTAGAATAGAATAGAGTTAGAATAGAATAGAATAGAATAGAATAGAATAGAATAGAGTTAATAGAATAGAATAGAATAGAATAGAATAATAGAATAGAATAGAATAGAATAATAGAATAGAATAGAGTTAGAATAGAGTTAGAATAGAATAGAATAGAGTTAGAATAGAATAGAATAGAATAGAAAATATGGAATAGAATAGAATAGAATTAGAATATAATATAATAGAATAGAATAGAATGGAATGGAATGGAATGGAATGGAATGGAATAGAATAGAATAGAATAGAATAGAATAGAATAGAATAGAATAGAACAGAACTCTTCATTGGCCAAGTGTGATTGGACACACACAAGGAATTTGTCTTGGTGCCTCTCAGTGTACATAAAAGAAAAGATACATTCATCAAGAATCATAAGGTACAACACTTAGTAAGGCCCAGACTGACTCCCCTTCAGACAATAAGAATGAACTTTGGAAAACTGGGTATTTCCAAAAAGGAATTCCTTATTGAAAAGGAAGCTATCCAGGCGATGTTCAAAGCCGCGTCTGATAGGCCTCCAGGCATGCAGCTTCGATAAAGGGAGTTAGAACCCCTCCCTTAGTCCGGTGTGGATTTCGTCAATAGAAAGAAGCAACACGTTAATTCTCTCCCCCCACCCCTTTTTTCCCCCCTGGGAAAGCAGTTGAGAAGAGCTTCCCAGGAAGTTGCTTTTGGAATTTCTGGAATTTTTATGGCCCCCTCTTCTCCTCTTGCTATCTCTCCAAGAGGTGACAGGTTTCCAGGCATCTGGGCTCCAGTCCCCCAGTTGTATCTCACGTGCAAGTTATACAGATTCAATACAAGAATTAAAGATATTCAAGTTACATCAAAAAGGACGACTTGTATCAACTCCCCCCGTCCCTTTCCCCTCCCATTGAAGAATGGCAGATACACTTGGCAGATACATCAATGCTTTTTTTTTCCCCCTTCTTTTTCACTTCTGCATTTTTCTGTCTTCCCCTTTTCCTCTCCTCTCCCTTTTTCATTTTTCTTTATATTCTTTTACGTTACGTTTTGATAAATTAACCAAATTTTGAACCAATTTAAAAAAGAACAAACAAGAGAAAGGTGGAGAGAGAGAGAGAGAGAGAGAGAGAGAGAACCCCTTGATAAAGATTATCCTGTGGGGGGGGGGGGCAGAAGGGGAGGGAAGCTTTGATTTTCAGGCCAGATGTCAAGAAGCTAATGCAGGCAATCCTCGAGATACAACCATAAAACAAACTGTATGCCGTGGTCAGTAGGTGAAATGTCTCGCTTAATGTTTGCTCTCTCCAATGAATCATTCAATGAACGTGTGGGTTGTTAAGTGTCTCAGGCCTGGGGGAGACCTTTGGAGGTCTAAGACAGGCCCAGGTCTACCTGTCCCAGCCCTCCCAAGGCCGCCCCCATAATATGCCTCGTGCGTCACTTCCTGCCTTGGGGTCCCCAGTGACCTTTTAACCATTCCTACTGGGAGCGGGATGCCCCCCGCCTTAGGACTGATTCCCACCCTACGCACCAGGCCAAACACCTTCCTCCTCTACCTCACTTACCTTTGGAAGAGCTCCGAGGCCTTCTAGAGCAAGAATGGGCAACTAGGACCAATTAAGGACCTGTGGACTTCAACAACTCCCAGAATTCCTGAGCCAACCAGCTTCCGACAAGCAAAATCAACAAGGGATGCCTTATTCACTTAATAAACACATGACCCACTTAACAGCTGCAGTGATTCACTTAACAGCCATGACAAAAAGTTTTAAAATTGGGGGCAGCTCACTCAACAATCGACTTGCTTAGCAACAAAAATTGTAGTCATATGTCAAAGCACTACGCAATCTAAAACCATCTCTATCAGACCGGACGGAATATGTGCCTACTTCTTAAAAAAGCTATCCACTGCCATAGCCGAACCTCTAAGCATAATCTTTGAAAAATCTTTCAGGACCAGCTCCTTGCCAAAACTATGGTCACAGGCCATGGTCATCCCCATCTTCAAAAAGGGAGACCCCAGCCTAGTTGAAAATTACAGACCAATCTCCTTATGCTGCATCACCTGTAAAGTCACGGAATCAATTATTAACCAATCCATCATCCTCCACTTAGAGACAAACAACCTACTCTCTAATAAACAGTTTGGTTTCAGGAAAAAACTATCCTGTAATCTGCAACTCTTACACTGCAAAAACACATGGACTACAGAACTCGATCAGGGCAAAACAATAGACTCAATCTACATAGACTTCTGTAAAGCCTTTGATTCAGTGGTACACGACAAACTACTCCTAAAACTAAAATCTTATGGTATCTCTGGACAACTGCATAACTGGATAGAAGCATTCCTGTCAATAGACAACAAATGGTCAAAATTGGGAGTGTCCTATCAAATTCTGTACCTGTCAATAGTGGTGTCCCCCAAGGCAGTGTTCTAGGACCAACTCTCTTCATACTCTACATAAATGACCTCTGTGGTCATATTAAGAGCAACTGCGTTCTCTTCACTGAGGATGTAAAGCTGTTCAACACCACAGACAATACTGCTACCCTTCAAAAGGATCTTGACTATGTATCAGAATGGTCAAACAAATGGCAACTTCAAATTACAACAAATAAATGCTCTGTCTTACATATTGGCAAAAAAAAAATCAGAAAATAAAATACAAGCTGAATAGTCAAGATCTTGTTGATGATCCAAGCTCTGTAAAGGACCTTGGAGCACTCATCTCTAATGGTCTAAGTGCTAGAGCCCACTGTAACTACATAGCCAAAAAGGCATTAAGAGTTGTTAACCTAATCCTACGTAGCTTTTTCTCTGGTAACATCACACTACTAACTAGAGCATACAAAACATTTGCTAGACCAATACTGGAATACAGCTCATCAGTCTAGAACCCACATTACGTATCTGATATTAACACAGTTGAGAAAGTCCAGAAATATTTCACAAGAGTTCTCCACTCCTCTACTCGTAGAATACCTTATGCCACCAGACTTGAAATTCTAGACCTAGAAAACCTTGAATTACGCCGTCTTCGATCTGATCTAAGTACGGTATATAAAATCATACATTGCAATGACTTACCTGTCAATGAATACTTCAGCTTCAACCATAACAACACAAGAGTACACAATAGATACAAACTCAAGGTTAGCCGCACCAAACTTGATTGCAGGAAATACGACTTCAGCAACAGAGTGGTCAATGTCTGGAATTCTCTACCTGACTCTCTGGTTTCTTCCCCAAACCCCAAAAACTTTAACCTTAGACTGTCTACTATTGACCTCACCCCTTTCCTAAGAGGTCTGTAGGGGGCGTGCATAAGCGCACCAACGTGCCTACCGTCCCTGTCCTATTTCTTTTATTTTTCTTATAGGTACCCATTTCATGTGTTCATAACTATGTATATACTTATACCTATTATCTTGTAAGCGATTGACAAATCAAATAAAATAAATGCCAGGGAGTACCTATATGCATGCCCTTGTGTTCAGGACCCTGGAGAGTTCCAGGCAAGAAAAGGAAAGGCCGGGTTATTCTTTGCCAGGACACCGGTCACCTTCAGGACCTTGGAGAGCTCCAGAGGAAAAGCTGAAACGTTGGATTACCTCTGGTGGTCCCAGCCAATTAATTAGTTTTCCCAGTCCAGGGGATCCTTTATTTGCACCCTGCTTGATAGCTGCTATTTTTCCTCAGATTCCTTTCTGGGTTAGTGTAGGTGAGTCTTTGAATCTGAATGTGCAGTTTTATTTTCCTTCCTTCCTTGGCTCCCTCCCTCCTTTCTTTCTCTTCCCTCCCTTCTTTCCTTTCTCCTTCCTCCTCTGTCTCTGTTACTCCTTTCCTCCTTTCCTCACCTTCCTTCCTTCCCTCCCTCCTCTCTTCTTTCCCCTCCTTCCTTCCTTTCTCTCTTCTCTCCCTCACCTCCCCTTTTTCTCCTTCCTTTCCTTTCTCCCACTTTCCCTTCCTCCCTCCCTTCATTCTCCTCTCCCTTCCTTCCTTCCTTCCTTCCTTCCTTCCTTCCTTCCTTCCTTCCTTCCTTCCTTCCTTCCTTCCTTCCTCGCTTTCTTTTACAAATAACTCAAGGTAGTGAACATAAACAATACTCCTTCCTCCACCCATTTTTTCCTCCAACCACAATCCTGTAAGGTGACTTGGGTTGAGATTTCTATGAGGCATTTCAATGAAGTTATTTGATGTTATAATCTGTAGTTCAATGTCTCCTGAAGCCTTTTTGGGTTCTTTCAACTGATTTGGAGGACAAATGAACTGGCGAATGGAGAACACTAGGTTGACGTATTGATTGATTGATTGATTATCTGCCATCAAGTCATTCCCAACTCCTAACAACACATAGTTGGATTTTTCTCCATGACAATCCATCTCTAACTTGTCCTTCCTGGACAAAATAGGTTGAGTTATTGGATAGAGCTCATTGTGCCAGACAGTAAATAATGAAGTTCACGTTGATAGAATAGAATAGAACACAACACAATATAACACAACAACAGAACAGAATTCTTTATTGGCCAAGTGTGATTGGACACCCAAGGAAATTGTCTTTGGTGCATATTCCTCTCATAAAGGGATATAAAATATATTCATCAAGAATCATAAGATACAACAGTTAGTGATAGTCATAGGTTACTAATAAGCAATCAAATCATACCAGGAAACAAAACAATATAAATTGTAAAGATACAGGCAACACGGTTATAGTCATAAGTGGGAAGAGATAGGTACTAGGAAGGATGAGAGGAATAATAGCAGACTTAGTAAATAGTTGCAAAGTGTTGAGGGAATGATTTGTTTAGCAGAGTAATGGCGTTCGGGAAAAAAATGTCCTTATGTCTAGTTGTTCTGGTGTGCAGTGCCCTACAGTGTCGTTTTGAGGGTAGGAGTTGGAACAATTTATAATAATCCTTTCAAACGATAAAATAAGATAAAATCATAAAATATTTAAAAAATTAAGAATAAATATACGAACAACAAGTCATCTTGTGTTCCAGGATTGAAGCTTAGTTGAGACAACTCCGTTCTTTCCCTGTTGAGAAACTCTTTGATTTATCCTTTTAGTATTCAACGGCCGAGGAAGAGGAGGAAGGCAATATTCTAGGAAGAACAGAAGAAATTTCTGGGCAGAAGGAAAAGTTGAAAAAACCTCCAGGAATCTGGGCTCAGAAAGAACATCCCATCAATTCAGGGCAGAGTAAGGATTTTTTTTTGTACGTGTGTGATTGCAATATTAACTCATCCTGCCTTAATTACAGGTAGTCCTCAATTTGCGACCTTTTGTTTAGCAACTACTTGAAATTGCAACAGTGCTGAAAAAAAGGGGCTTAAGTCCATTTTTCACACTTGACCATTGCAGCATCGACAAGGTCACGTGATCAAAATTCATCCACTTGGCAACTGGCCCATATTTATGACGGTCGCAGCGTCATCTGATCCCCGTGTTGCGACTTTCTGATCAGCAAAGTCAACGGGGAAGCCCGATTCGCTTAACAGCCATGTTCCTAACCGAATGCCTGTGGTGATTCGCTTAACAATGGTGGCCAGAAAGGTCCACAGACCTTTAAGGAGCAGGACTCCCTTAACAATTGTCTTGCTTAGCAAAGGAAATAACGGCTCAATTATGGTCGTAAGTTGAGCGCTACCTGTGCTTAGAAAAATTCAGGTCATTTCCGTGAGTGATGGAGGAATTTTTTTTAAAAAAACAACAACCTAAGATTCTCCAAAAATAAGTTTAATTGCTTGGTTTTTCTGGTGTAGCATTGATGACCGCAGGGGGGAAAGTGGAATTTAGAGTCCTTGCCGCTCTCTGAGCTTGGTTGCTTTCTTGCAGACGTTTCATTACCAAGCTAGGTCACATCATCAGTGCTAGAAGGGAGTTGTCAGGGTTCCGACAGATGCCCCAATTAAACCATGAGCCTGGAGCCGAGTTTCTAAAAAATCCAGTTATTTATTAGGAGCAACATGTCAGGCACAGACCCAAATGAAGTCAGCTCTGCCTCACGTAATTTACGATCCACCTATGACCCTTTTTTCCCCCTCCCCCCAGGGTATGTCATAAATCATATTCTCCAACGAGCACTTTCAAAGGCTGTAGAAATCACGCCTCTCCGGTTGGTCCCGGTAGCCTGGGATACAGCCTTGAAGAAGGTATGCGTGGAATGTGCATCTGGTTGTGGCTGCTGGGTTGTTCCATCAGTTCCCCACCCCCACCGCTTCCCTTGCCTATGGCAACTCAAGAGCAGGCCAGGAATGCTTTACGAGTTGACAGGAGAAGGGTTTGAGTAGAGGAGGAGGAGGAGATGGGGCGAAGAAAGAGGATTGTGGGGTCCCTGGATCACTTTGAGCTTGGTGGTTTTCTTGCCGTCGTTTCATTACCAAGCTAGGTAATATCATCAGTGCTGGAAGGGAGAAGAGTTTGAGAGGAGGAGGACTGTGGGTTCCTTGGTTCCAACAGTCGTCGTTCTCCTCCTCTTCCTCTCTTCAAACCCCTCTTCCTTCTAGCATTGATAATATTGCCTAGTTGGGTCATGAAACGTCTGCAAGAAAACAACCAAGGTCAGAGCACCACACAATCCTCCTCCTTCTCTTCCTCCCCCCTCCTCCTCCTCCTCCTCTCCACAAACCCCATTCCCTTCTAGCACTGATGATGATTTCTAGTTGGGTCATGAAAAGTCTGCAAAAAAAACCAACCAAGGATCCCTTATATCAACCCTGAGCTACAAATATTCTCCTTTATTAGAGAGACAGTGTAGTCTCAGGTATCTAACATGGCATTAATATTCACTGGCGCTTATAAGTATTTCAGCATCCTTGGAGAATTCCGAATGCAATTATTACAGGGGGGAGGAACCCCTCTCTCTTTAAAAAGATCGTGCAGAAGGCGGAGAGGCCTCTTAGAAATAAAATAAATGCCTTTTTTCCCCCTTTTTTGGAGGTGTCTTTATTTCAAGTTCTCTGAGCATGTTCCTACTTATATTCCGTAGGACGAGAGTGTTCCTTTGGGACAGGTACGCAATATATCCATGACAACCTGCCAAGGAGAGATCTATTTACTTCTGTAAACGGGTAGGAATTTTTTATTTAATGTTTAGGGAGCCCTTTGGATGAAATCTCTCTTTTTAACATGGACTGGGGTTATTTTAACAGCTTGTTTCGCTTCTGTTTTTTTTTTTTAACTTTGTTTCCTTCTGTTTTTCTGTTTGTCTTCGGTTACCAAAGCTTTTGTTTGTTGCAGAATTATTTCACAGTCATTTTGGGTACCGTTTCATGAAGACAGAGCATAAATGTTCTGAATAATAAAAGTCTTCCTAGCAATAAATAAATAGATGAAATTCCAAACAGTATTACTAACAATGTCTTCCTAACACTAAATAAATAGATGAAATTCCAATGTCTTCCCGTAATCCCTTGAATAGGGGCAACTGAATGGGGTTGAGCTGAGTATTTACTGGCCAGATGCCTTTCCTGTCACCGATGTGGAGTTTTGTTCAGCAAATATATTCCCATCGTGCCCAGAGAGAGAAATATCTGCCTCTACCTAGGCTCGAACCCACAGCCTCCTGGTTGTGAGGCGAGAGCTCCAGCTCTAAGCTACCGCACCACTCTCTGTGTTATTAACTCTCTGTGTTAACCGTGTTGCTGACAATGCCTCTGAATTACTTCTTTCCCACGTCAGCAGCATATATTTTTGAAAACCAAAATGGAAATAGCCCTCAACTTACAACCATTAGTTTAGTGACAGTTCGAAGTTACAAAAAAAAAAAGTGATTTAGGGACGTTTTTTCACATTTATGACCATGGCAGCATCTCTGTGGTCAAGTGATTTACATTTGGATGAGGACTGACTGGGCGGGGAGGGGAGGGGTGGACAAAGAGGGGCGGGCCCAGCCAGGGGCAGAATTTGCCAGTTCTCCGAACTGCGCAGAATCATAACAACCGGTTCTATACAACCGGTCCGAACCGGTAGAATCTCCACCCCTGGAAAGGGCTGTCAATTGTAGATTGTTGGTTGTAGATTAAATGGACCAGGGGTCGCCAACCTATTGGACCTCAGGGACCACCAAACTCATACTTTTAAATTCTGGGGACCACTAATGTGAATTTTGACTGATGGTGGTTTGCTGACAGTGGGAGAGAGAGAGAGATCTGATTTAACCTCCCTCTCTCCCTCTCTCTCTCTCTTTCACACACACACACACACACAGGCAGGGGTGGGATTCAAATTTCTTGGGCGTGGCCCAATTTGTGTGTGTGGCTTGGTCATGTGACTGGCTGGGCATGGCTTGTATGTAAATATTATAAATATTTATGCAAATATTGAAAAAATTTTTATAAAAAAGAGCAACTTTTACCCAAAATCGGGCAAAGCAGGCAGGCAGATTGAGTTGCTCACAGAATCACAGATTCACTTAGAGATCTGTGTTTCTGCCATCAGCTATCTGAGTCTGCAACTGAATAATAGAACCTTCCGTCCTAAGGGACGGAAGGTAGATAGTTCAGCTGGGTATACGTGAAATTATCCAAATGTGAATTTCACTGTGCCCAGCTGGACTTACCTGGGTTAATGAATCTCAGGGGAGGGGATTGAAATGGACCCGAAAAAAGGTGAAAGCCGTATTGGACTGGCAAACCCCTGCAGTGCACAAACAGCTGCAGAGTTTTTTGGGTTTTGAGTTTTTGGGGGTTTGCTGAGACTGCATTTACGGCCATGTGCATCGTCTTACCTTTCTGATTGTGTGTCATGCCCCTGTTGGAATCTGATTCTGAGGGGGAGATTGAGCAGTTAACAGGGAGTGGGAGTACGGCTCCGGTGGCTGTGGAGGAAACTGGGGAAGG